TATTTATGTAACTGACTTTAGCAAGTAGAAAAGTAATAAATACAACACATTTGTTAAATTAGAAGTAGAAGCATAATAAAGACAAGAGCGGCAATAATAAAACATTCCAATAAAGGTAACTAACCAACTAAATACAACTACAAGTTAAACAATAACAACAATATAAATAATAGCAGCCGCACTCACAAACAACTTGTCTTCCAATTGCTGAAGTATGTGTGTATGTTGCAAATTTACGGCTTTGACAGGTGACAATTGTATTCGGTTGTCGAGGATGTCATGTTATGTGCTGTTGACAAATTGAAGTGGTTGCCAGCAAGAAGCAAGAGCTCGCGCGGCAGGCGGGCGTTTGGAGATAAATAGGATGAGGGTAAAAGAACGTTTACATATATGTAAATATAATCTCGATCAAAGCTCGTTTGTTAATCAAATCTCGGATTTGTTGCGCCCGTTTTTCTCAAAACTCAATTAAAATTTAAGTTTATTCTTTATGCCACGGTAGTCACTATTTTCCTTCTAAACAAAGCTGTTTAAATATACTTAATAGGAGTGCCAGTTACCGTTGAAATTCGACCGTTTTTGTTATTTTTTAAGAGCCTTAAAGAGGTTTTCGAACTTAGCATCGGAAGAACTTACCGGAAAATCTTTGGCTTTGGAACCAAAACGAGACTACAATATATTATATATTTGAAGGTATTTGGAGAACTTTGGCAGGACTTGGAATTGACCCAATAGTTTTAGTTTGTCGATAAATTTCGATAATTTAATACACATCGATAATGCGATGAATTTAAAAAGCAATAAAATCCGATAACTCAAAAAAAATTCTGTAACTCGACTAACTTCGATAGTTTCTGATAAATTTCGAAAATTCTACATTTCGAAGGCTTGACAAATTTCGATAACTTAAAAATGTATACATCTCGATATATATCGATAACTCGATAAACTTTGGATACCTCCATAAATTTCGATAACTTTGTTAATTTATTAGCTTCATATTTTTCGAAAGCTATTGACAAATTTCGATAACTCGTTATACTCTGGTAACGCGATAAAATTCGATGAGCAGTGATAACTCGATAAACTTATATAACCATGAAATTGTGATGACTCGATATCGTTTTTAATCCAAAAACGTCGATTCGATAATCGACTCACTTCAGTAAGTCAATAAATATCGAAATCGACGCATTACGATAACTCTGGATATCTCTATAAATTTCGATAAAACGTTACACTCTGGTAAAACGATAAAATTCGATAAGCAGTGATAGCTCGATAAACTAATATAACCTTGAAATTTCGATAGCTCGATATATGTATTTTGAAAATTTCAAAAACTTCGATTCGATAAATCGACACATTTTAGTAAGTCAATAAATATCGATGAGATGAAAGAACTCGATGCATTACCATAACTCGATAAATTTCGTTAACTCTAAAAATAATGATAATTCCATAAATAACGATAACTTGACAAATTTCGATAATCCCATAAATTTTATAGCTCGGTAACTCTCTGTAAATTTCGTCAACTAAATTTTTGTGTCTATAAATTTCGAAAACTCAATAAACATTGATCAATTTGAATAGTTCGATAAGTTGCGGTAACTCAGTAAACATGGATAACTGATAAATGGCGATTACTATAAACTTCGTTGATTCGATAAATTTCGGTAACCTTATAGCTTTTGATAACTAAATTTATTTCGATTCCTAATGAAAAATTTCAATAAATTTTCTTACCCGTTCAGTTATCCTAATGCTTATGTATTTCTAATTCTCGTCTTTATCTTCAACTTTTTTGTCTTAATGGTTTTTATTATTTTTTTATTCATCATAAAATTTATTTTTTTTTATTAAGTTTTACTTCAAATTCAGCTTCCATTAGAAATAATTTTTTTTTTGGCTTAGTCATTTGCATGTATAGTACATAATGAATTTGAAGAACATTTTTTTTATTTATATTTTTTATTTAAGTAATAATTTTTTTTTTTAAGTTTTACTGCTAATATTTTCTAAAGAATTTTCTCCGTCTAAAAATTTTGAATCAGCTGAAGATTACGTAAATTTTGTTAAAATACCAAAAGCTCCAGATAATTGCTCAAATCACACGCTTTTTAACGATTTTTTGTTGTTGTGTTTGTATTTATTTTTTGCTATGCCTCTTTGCCATTTGGCGTTCCAGTTACGCGTAATTAAATTGTATGCCACAATTAAAACGCTCAAAGGCAAGCAACAAAAAAAAACGCAACAATACCAAACACAGGCCAAAATTTAAACCAAACCAAAAAAGAAAAAAAGAAAAACCAACAAAATAATGCAAAAGTACAATAAGCTAAAGCACATTAACAACGCAAATGAGCAATGAGGAAGGCAGGCGACAAAACTGGCACTTGCAAGCAGCAAAATAAAAGCCAACAAAAAAAAAGCTGAACTGAAAACCCGTTCAGATGCTGTGCGACGTTTCATGGGCCAAAAAAAAGAGGAACAATTGGCAAAACAGATTATTTCTGGCTGTAAACGGGTGCAGCAGCGCGCAAAAAATTTAAAAAAAAAAAAACAGAAAATAACATGAGCACACGCTTTTACAGCCACTAGTCGGCGAGCGCCCTTTGTACTAAAAAAGCAAGCGCTTCGCTCTGAAACCGAGTGCCTTCAAACAACGTACAAATTCTCAACCTATTGCAAATGCGAGCGAGTAAATGAAGTGAAAAGTGCGTGAAGCATCAAACAAAGTGAGTCATTCCCTTGCTCACCCAGCGCCTGTTGTTGCTCGCCTCGCATTGTCGTTTTTTGTTCAGCGGCACAGATACCTAGAATGAGGCCTTTTGTAAATAGGTTGGCAGTGCTCCGTTGCAGGACTTCTTTTGTTTTGTTTACTTCGATATTTGCATTCACTGCTGCTTTGACTTGGTTTGTTATTTATGTGGTAAGAACATGGAAAAATGTGTCTTCGTCAATTCGCACGAAAAAGGGCATCACGCGGACAACAGACCAACCGCAAAGATGGTAGAAAGTGATGAGCGTGGGCTATGAATCATTATGGAAATTTCTTTAGTGAGTGACTCAGGGCTGTAATGGTGGCACACTGGCGGGAATGAAGGGTGAATGTGTAGAGAATTTGGATAATTTCGCCGCTGGAAATAAGCGCAAAAAAGTGGTATTCATTTCAGTATACGACACTAAATTTAGACAAGGAAATCTACTCTATTATCGGATTTTTTTGGAAAAGTTTCTAGATTGCAAACTTGTTATGTGACCTCACGACCAAGAAAATCTACTTTAGTGGGAAATTCTAAGTCAAAATGCTCAATACGTGTTCCCTCTTTTCAATTTCAGATGTGTACAATAATTAATAGACGGTTCAAAGATGAAGTATAGAGCGGCAGCTGGCCTCGGATTGCCATTAATCTCGATTAACGGCCAAGTGATCGGTATCGGCATCTCTGCAATAGGTACATAACCTCCAAGTTTTCTGAAGAAGGCTAACAAAGCGAATTCATTATATGGCCTTTATAGCTCTCTTCAAACGCTGCTAATTACTCAGAATGCGGGAAATGTTCGATCCAATAGAGGACCTTAAACATACCCTGGCCCCTTGTTTAGCTATTCAAATGAAAAATTAGAAAACCATTAGGGCTGACGTGAACTTACTCACTGATAACCTAGGTTAGGTTAGGTTAGGTATCGGTAGTTGTCACTCCGCCAAGACCGGCAGAGAGACACACTTAGGCCAACACATTTGTCTAGCATGCGCTCCCATTAGGCAGTGTCCTGTAATTATACCCACAACTGTGCTAAAAATGTGGAGGTTGATTTGTATAAGAGTTTCGGATCGTTTCTCATTAATATATGGCAAGATCTGTTTTGTAACGGAACATGTTGGTTTTTTCGCCCATTGTTCGTTGGCCAATTCATGGGACGCCTGCATCGAGCGCTTAGTTCACTGAGCGCAGTTTCCCGGTAGTCAACTGTGCCCGGGTACCCATACCACGTTAATGGTGACTTTCCCGGCAAGCTCGTTCAAGGTACTTCTGCATTCGGCAACCACTTCGGAGGAAGTGTTACTGAACTGTAATGATATTCTGCGAGAATAAAAAGTATATACATAGCTCCAAATTAAGCGTGAACAATGCTGCAGTGGTCAGGGAGGCGCCTGCTTAGGTTTAGCGAGAGTTCTTTAGAGTACATTCCGCTTCCAGAAACAGAAATTGGAACTAATGTTGCGTTGTAGCTGGCCTGATATCTACCGTAAAGGTCGGTAGGGAGAATATTCAAACACTATCCAGAGCCATACTTGGAGTAGAGGGGAGGACACCCTCGTGATTAGCATAGTTTCCACCCTTTGTACCCGGTCCAATACGCCTCTGTAAGTAGAGTTTTCTAGAGCCGGCCAACATAGAGTGATCCCATAGAAAGGAATCGCTCGGAAAACCGCTGTATACATCCAGTGTATTATGTGTGGTATCAGACCCATCGTTTCCCTTTCGATACTTTACAGGCGTATAAGGCGGTAACGGTTTCCTGGATCGTTCCGTAAGGCTCCTCTTCCAGTCCAACTTCCTGTCGAGAATTAAACCGAGATAATTAACATCGGCGGAGAGCGCATCCCTTGGGAACGTCGGTCTGCAAGGTCGTACCCCTTAGAACTAGAAATGCTTCTATTAACATATGTTCGGAACTCGTTGTGGGGGATACATCCATATTTCTTTCAGATATGTTTATATTTCTTTCAAATATAATGAACTCTATATTTCCAGACCAATGACTATTTAGTTTTTTAAAGCTAACAAAAACGTTTCAGTAACCGAAGAAATTTACCTTAATACGTCATATGTAGATATTTTCAATCAGAACGGGATGAGGGACAAATTTTTATAAACTGGATGACATAAATCGTATTTCATATACATACATATATAATTGCTTTTCAATTCCTCACACAAATTTCTTAAGTCTAGTTAAATGGTAAAAGCAAAATCTCTTGGACTTACCGCTCTTCGATGGTTGTCGGCAACTGCGTTCTCGCTCGCATCATGCTTAGGAAATGTTTCGTATGCGCCGCCGCACTCATGCCGCCAACACCACCCACACCCATACCATGATGTCCAACACTACCACTACCCTCCGACAGGTAGCCATTATCTATGTCATGGTATCGCCTCGCTGTTGCGGCTGCGCGTTGCGCCAAGCGCGCCGCAGCGCTAACCCTTAACGAATCACCGTCGCTGCAGTAACCTTGACTGATTTCTGTTTCAATAAAGTCAGCAACATAATTGTGAGCGCCACCGCCACGTAGGCCGCGTGTGGGCAACGTAACATGCGAATTATAGCCACGCAGCAGCGGTGGCATAGGCAGCAAACTGGTCGGTCTCTTCTCCTCGTAAATGGTATCGATTCTCGAAGGTATCGTATGGAATTTGGATGCACTTGGATGTTGGTGATGGTGTGGCGTATCGGGCGATTGCGGTAGGCCGCGCAGTGGAGAACGTTGCGGCGAAGTGAGTATGCCGGGGCCGGCATTGTATTCCAGCTTGCGTGAAGGTGTATTGGCGGATGGTGAAGTAGCGGATTTGGGTGGCGGCAGGCGACTGTTATTTATGTATGTAGCATGCTCTTGTTGTTGTTGCTGCTGCTGTTGCTGATTGTAGTAGGCTTGCTGCTGTTGTTGATATTGTTGTTGACGTTGCTGTTGCAGCTGAAGGTGTTGCTGCTGTTGCTGTGATATGTTTGCTGTGTTGGCGTAATATGGTGGCTTGCTGCCCGGTTCCGGCAATATCGGTACCGGTTTGACGATATGTGGTTGGTGCTGCTGTGTTTCCTTGGATTTTGTCGTCTCGCCAGATATGTTTGTATGCATGCTTGATATGTCACTCTTTTCACGTTTCAGCATTTCATGCTGCGAATTGGAATTGCTCATGCCACGTCCACGATTATCAACGCTACCACTGCCAACAACAACACCCAAAGGCGGTTGCGGCAACTTGCTAGTGCCCTTGATGGCAGCAATCGGCTTGGGCAGACCAGTGTTTGAACCATTTGGGCTGCAGAGTCCTTTCGTGGGCGGCACTATCAGCGAGGATTTCGAATCAGACTTGGAATTGAGTGAGCCTTTCGATGAAGATTTCGCCGAGTTCTTTTCGCTAACGCGGGGCAGTGAGTTTTTCGTGCGACTCAAAGTCGAATTTTTGCTATCGCCACCCATGTCTTCCTTATTTAGCGAACGCGCTGGACTTTTCTCCTTTTTGTCGAGCTTACTGGATTTTGTCTGTTCTTTCTTCAACTGTGCGGCCATTAATTTTGATTGTTTTGTATTGACCTTGCCCTTGCCGGAGGTAACGCTGACAGTTGGTGGCTTGATCTGTGATATGTGGCCATCGTTGAGGCTCAGCGAAGAGTCTGAGCGCTCGGAACGTGCTGAGGAGAAACCCGACGAGGATGAGGTACGCTTTGATTGAGCCTGCATTTTAGTGGTTGCAGCATTGACGGCGTTCTGCTGCTGTTGCTTTTCCTTATTAAATAACTTCAGTTTGTCAAGCATTGAGTGCTTTTGTTGTGGGTGCGCAGCAGTTGCCACATTGGCGGCTGCTGGTAAACCACTTGGTGGCGGTATGCCGCTCGGGTGGGTCGGTTTAGCTGTTGGTGGACGTAAGCTGCGGGAAAGAAAAGAGGTATGTAGGGAGAGAGGGTTAATCAAGATTTTTTTTCGACAAATTAAAGTCCTTAAATTCGCCATAAAGTGGTATAAAATGTTATGTCTTTGTCTTTAGGTATTTTTGGGGAATAAAGTTTATAAGAATATAGTTTTAGAATCCTAAACTTTGTTGTGGATATTTTGTAGCAATTGTCACTTACCCATTATTGTTGCCAGTTTTAAGACTTTGTATTGTATGATTGCTGGTTGGTGGACTATTCGGCCGCCCGCTATTGAAATCAGCGCCGCTTTTGCCCAAACCCGGTATGGCTGAAAAAAAGTGATATTTTTTAGCTCGAAATAAAACATTTTTTTTTTTTAGCTAGGAAACTATGAAAAAATTTGTATTTAGATATGTAAATATATATTTTTTTTAAATAACTAAAAAAAAATAAGTGGTCGAAAAACTTTTAGTAATTGTTGACTGGTGTATAATAAAATTTTACTATCCAGTTTCAACTCTTATGAAATTTTACGAACAAATTAAAAATTTCAAAATCGCCAAATTACTTAAGTGCCATTTTTTCAAATACATTTCTTCAAAACAAAATTTTTAGAAAAATGCGCCTAAAACTTTTAGATCCAAGAAGAGCGATTTTTTTATTTTTGAAAAAAATCCAAAATAAAATATAACAGTTTTTTTTTTCGAAATCAACAATAGCACTTTTAGTTACGAAAAAAACTTTTTGCATGCAAAAAGTTTAAAGAAGATTATTTTCTGTCCTTGTTTTATGGTCATTTTCTTCCTCTAACCATATTTCAAGATCTGGGTCAATATGCAAAGTACACTTAAGACATTTTAATTTATTTTGTTTTTTTTTTAACGTTAAGCTTCTTCTACATATGTATATGTAAATTACAACCTGCAATGTCGCGAACAAGCTTTGTCATATGTAAACTTCAGCATTAATTTACGACACTTGCTACAGCGACTTGTCAACACCCCTTCAACTATTTTCATTTTATTTTTTATGTATACACATTTCCACGCACAGTTTGGAGCGCCAAAAACAAGTGGACATTAATTTAAATTAAATGCGTGCGATTTAAAGTCAGTTACACACAAATGTACATATGCACACATATTCTTACGAACAAGGCAATGGCTTGAAAGCTGATTTATGCCAGGACTCGGCATACCGGCATTCAAGTACTGCGGTATTTACAGTGCCTCACAGCGAAAATCGTGCAGCCAAAAAAAATTTTTGTTATTATTCACAAAGTTTTTATGTTAAATAGTTAAGGTCTAACTTAAGCTATAGATGATAAAACGTAGAGAGTTGTCACCTGTTTGAAAATTGCAGTTTATTTAAATTGGCAAGATAAAGTAAATATTGCAATAGGGCCATCAAAAAAAAGAGTTTAAGATGGCTTACAGCCGAAAAATTTATGTGTTTAAATTTTTTTATTCAATTTAATGAATAAGGTAAATTGCAAGATGCAATTTGGGTATAAAACTAAAAAGGTTGCCGCCTGTTTGAAAAATTTTATTCATTTAAATTGATAAAATAAATGAAATATGGCAATACTGGTGTTAAACTAAAGAGGTTTAAGAAAATTACTGTGGTAAATTTTTCTTGAAGCGGGTTGCCACCTATTTGAAAAATTTAATTCAGTTAAACTAAAAAGATAAGGTAAATGTTGAAGTATTACACCTTTGAGGAAAGTGCTTGAAAATAAGACTCGAGCTATAAGATTATAAATTTAATTACCAGGAGAAAGCCGATACTCTACCTACTTTCTAAAACTCCATTTATAAAAAATAAAGAATGCTTCATAAATCGAAAATTTGTTTGAAAATATTTCTTTATAAAGCTCTTTAAATCTATTTTTTTTTTTTTTTTATGAAGTTGCTTTAAGAGTTTTGAGAGGGAGTAAAAAACAAAAAAAAATAATACTTTTAAGGCGCAGTGAAGCACGCCGGGTATTTGCTAGTTTTTTTTTTATAAAAATATGGTTCATAGTAAAACAAACACCATACAAATCAAAAATTCCAAACTTTGTATAAAAACTGGGAAAATTCGGCGAAATTTTCAATCATTTTCATGAAAATTTTCAACTTTTTGAACAGATTTTTTTAGAAATATTACGGGTATGCAGCCCTTTAAATTTTAGTCGAATAAAGTACAAGTTTCGAATAGCTAAAAATTGTTGTTAATTTTTGAGATTTTTTTTTTGGTGCACGATTTAGCTATGAGCCACTGTATGTAGTACATACTTGTAATCGCGCTAGGAATTTCGTTGTGGGAACATTGAAGCGTTACAACTGTCATGCAACAAGAAGATATGCGTTAATTAATTTTCGAAACACGCGCCTACGCAACATCCATACATGTGTGCATATGTATGTATATTTATAGACATCTTTTTATGTAAATATGTATGCATGCCGACTGCCCTTAGAAACACCAGGCCTGCAAAGGAATTCACTTAGCTGGGCGAGTGGAGGGTACGTCGCTCACTGTCGACATACGAAAGTCGAAAAACCCCAAACGAATGCGGGAGAAAGAAATCAGTGACAAGCATAAATCAAAATCACAGCTTGATGTAGCGATAAACGGATAAACGTGAAATTAATTATGGATGCCCCTTTTGCTCTGATTCAATACCAGTTTGCACCAATTCCCCAAGAGGAAGTCTTTTTCGGGATATGTAAATTTTGTAAAAAAAAATTTAACAAATACGCTGATGACAACTTCCTGGTTTTGTGGCTGTGATTTATTTAGTGTGTTAGTATGTATGTATGTATATTGTAATTAGATATAAATAAATATGTTTTAAGTAGTTGACTTCTGTCTTCTTTTTATTCAAAATGCGATAATAGCTCAGCTCCTTAAACCTTTCCCCTGCAGTGAAAACTTATTTTTACTTTACTCCTAATATAGGTTAATATTTCGCCAAGATCTGAAAACTTAGTATCAATCGACAAAATTAAAACCGAGTAGAGAGATTCTAAAGAGGTGGTGCTTTTGTGGAGCAAGCTAGAAGCAAATGCTTCACGGATCGAAGACTTTT